CGCATTGCAGACGCCCGACCACTTTTCCTGCCCCCTCGACGCGCGCGGCGAGCCCGGACGCCGGCATGTAAGATAAGTATTTGTCGCTCGCCAGCCCGTCGAACGCAGAAAAGAAGGGGCAGTTAACGCCCTGCGAGGCGGGAAAGTCCGCCTCCGAGACCGCTCCGAGCTCGAATTGCTAGCGCCCAACACTGCCATCCGGAGCAGTTTCTCGGCCCCTACCTGCCCGCGCGCTTTCTCCTGCGCCGCTGGCTGCGACACTTGCCCGCCTCACAGCGACCACTTTCGGCGCTTCTCACCCCTGCGCCAAGTGCCGCCGCTCGCCGCCACCCCTTTCCCCCGAGCGCGGTCCGGACCATGCGGCCGGCGCTCAGCTCCCACCTCCTGCGCCCCGTCCGCGGCCTTTGCCGTCCCCCAAAGTGCGCGCCGCTCTTCACGGCGCTGCGACGCGGGCCTCCTCGCCCCCCGCCAGTGACATACTCTTTCGACACCTGGCCCCCTCGCAGCGACCGCCTTCCCAATACCGAGTCGGTGTTTCTCGCCCCTGCCCCGCGCGCCGCCGCTCACCGTCACCCCGTTCCCGCCCGGGCGCGGCCCAGCCCCTGCCGCCCGCGCTCCGCCCCCAACTCCCGCGCCTCGCCAGCGGCCTCTGCCGTCACCCACCGTCCGCGACCCCCGTGGCAGCGTAGCCGCGCGTGGCCGCGCGGGCCCCCTCGTCCCCCGCCAGTGACATACCCTTTCCCCTCGCCGCTGCCGCCTCTGAGGTCATGCGGAATTTATAAATGACCCGCGTAATTTCTGCCCATCCCGTAGCCGCCAGGTGTCCCTGGTGGCGGCCTGCCCTGCGACCAGCCCGCCCCTGACGTGGCCGTCACGTGTACGCCGTGTCGCCCCTGTGCGCCCAAAATTTGTTTTCCCGCGAAACGACACATCGGAAATTTTATGCAAATATTAGGCACACCAATCAGAACGGCGGCTTCCACAGAGCGCACCAATGGCAACGCGGGAGCGCACAGACAGACACACAGACAGACAGACACGGAAATTAGTAGTTGCGGGGACAAGTGGGCTCCGTGCACGCTTCGCGCGCCGAGCCAAATCCCTTCTTTCTCCGCTCCTCGCCCCGCACCTACCGCTCCGCCGTCCCTTCGTCTCTGGTCCACCATCGTTGCCGGCGTTCCCCGCCCCTCTGCTCCCCCGTCCTCTTCGCTACTGCTCTCGTCCTCTCTCCGGTCTTCGTCGCCCCTTTCCCCCTCGTCCTGCCACGCCTACCGCCCCTCCGTGCTCACTCTGGCTGCAGGTCGCGCTGCTCTCGCCACACTCGCCTCAGTCCTGCTCCCCACCCTTGCCCAGGCCGTTACCCTGGTCGCTACGGTTGGCACTCCCGTCCGCCTCAACCTCCGTACCGGCGAACCCGTGGCCCCCCGCCCACACTGCCCCCTCCCTCTCCCCGCTTCTGCTCTCGACTGTTTCGCCGCCGCCCGCGTTGCCTGGCGCCTACGCCGCGAGGTGCTTCGCTTCCTCAACCCCCGCACTCCCACTTCCGTGCCCCTACCCTTTCGTTATTCTATGGCTCTCACGCTCTAGATACACGCCCGCGCAATCACACCTCACCCGCCGCCCCGTCCTACTCCACCTGGCCCCTCTACTCGTGCGGCTCGCCCCGCTCCCTCCCTCCCTGCCGCAGCCTTGCCCTCTCCGTCGCCGGCCTCCGCCCCTGCTGCTGCTCTTGCCGCCCCCAAGTATCCGTCGCCTGGCGTGCCCAGGCTTGCACCTCCACCTCGCCTTCCGCTCCACCCATTTCGCCGCCTGTGCACCTCCCGCTCGGCTTCCTGCTCCGACCTTTGCAGTTACTGCTCCCGACGTCCCCACTCTTGCTGCTGCTGCCGCTGCCCCTGCTTCGTCGCGTGCGCTCTCAGCGACTCTCCCGCCCTCCGTTCTCCTGGTTCCCCTCCCCTCCTGCCTCCTTTGACGGCCCTACGATCCCTCCTCCCCTTATGATGCGCTTCCCCCATCCCCCGCCTGCCCGCCTCTTTTTGATCAAGCCGATCACAGCCACCTTCCCCTCTGCACGCCGTTTCTGTAGGCCCTCCTTCTCGTCCGTCGCGGTGCCGCTCCCGCCCCCACAGTCATCGCAGTTAGTCAATCTTCCCTCTCGTACGCTGCGAACCCAGCGGAAGGAGCGCAGCGCGACCGCCTGGGCGTCAATTCCCGGCCCCGCCTCACCCGCGCGCGTCTTCTTGCGCTGCCGGCTGTGACACCTGCCCGCCTCGCAGCGACGGTCTTCGGCGTTCCTCGCCCCTGCCCCTCGCGCCGGCGCTCGCCGCCACCCCCTTCCCCCCCGGGCGCGGTCCGGCCCCTTCCGCCCGCGCTCCGCACCCACCTCTCGGGCCTCGTCAGCGGCCTCTGCCTTCACCTACCGTGCGCGACCCTCGCGACAGCGTGGCCATGCGGGCCCCCTCGCCCCCCGCCAGTGACACACCCTTTCCCCTCGCCGCTGCCGCCTCTGAGGTCATGCGGAATTTTTAAATGACCCACGTAATTTCTGCCCATCCCGTAGCCGCCACGTGTCCTTGGTGGCCGCTTGGCCAGCGGCCAGGCCGCCCCGCAGCCCCCCGCCACTTGCCACCGCCACGTGTCCCGGTGGCCGTGACGTGTACGCGTGTCGCCCCCGTGCGCCCAAAATTTGTTTACAGTACACTTGTCACTGTAGTAAAAAATGAAATTAAATCACGGCCCCGCCGCTTTCTACACGTGTCCTCGTGGCCGCCACTTGTTGCTGCAGCGCCCCCGTGCGCCAATGAGAACCCGTGCGGGAGCGCACGAACACACATACACAAACACACAGACAGACAGACACGGATTTTAGTATACGCGGGGACAAGTCGGCTCCGTGCCCGCTTCGCGCGCCGAGCCAAATCCCTTCTTTCTCTGCTCCTCGCCCCGCACCTCCCGCTCCGCCATCCCTTCGTCTCTGGTCCACTATCGTTGCCGGCGTTCCCCGCCCCGCTGCTCCCCCATCCTCTTCGCTACTGCTCTCGTCCTCTCTCCGGTCTTCGTCGCCCCTTTCCCTCTCGTCCTGCCACGCCTACCGCCCCTCCGTGCTCACTCTGGCTGCAGGTCGCGCTGCTCTCTCCACACTCGCTTCAGTCCTGCTCGCCACCCTTGCCCAGGCCGTTACCCTGGTCGCTACGGGTGGCACTCCCGTTCGCCTCAACCTCCGTACCGGCGAACCCGTGGCCCCCCGCCCACACTGCCCCCTCCCTCTCCCCGTTTCTGCTCTCGACTGTTTCGCCGCCGCCCGCATTGCTTGCCGCCTACGCCGCGAGGCGCTTCGCTTCCTCAATCCCCGCACTCCCATTTCCGTGCCCCTACCCTTTCGTTATTCTATGGCTCTCACGCTCTAGACACACACCCGCGCAATCACACTTCACCCGCCGCCCCGCCCTACTCCACCTGGCCCCTCTACTCGTGCGGCTCGCCCCGCTCCCTCCCGCCCTGCAGCGGCCTTGCCCTCTCCGTCGCCGGCCTCCGCCCCTGCTGCTGCTCTTGCCGCCCCCAAGTAACCGTCGCCTCGCCGCCTGTGCACCTCCCGCTCGGCTACCTGATCCGACCTTTGCAGTTACTGCTCCCGACGTCCCCACCCTTGCTGCTGCTGCCGCTGCCCCTGCTTCGTCGCGTGCGCTCTCAGCGACTCTCCCGCCCTCCGCTCTCCTGGTTCCCCTCCCCTCCTGCCTCCTTTGACCGCCCTACGATCCCTCCTCCCCTTATGATGCGCTTCCCCCATCCCCCGCCTGCCTGCCTCTTCTTGATCAAGCCGATCACAGCCACCTTCCCTTCTGCTCGTCGTTCCCGTAGGCCCTCCTTCTCGTCCGTCGCGGTGCCGCTCCCGCACCCAAAGTCATCGCAGTTAGTCAATCTTCCCTCTCGTACGCTGCGAACCCAGCGGAAGGAGCGCAGCGCGACCGCCTGGGCGTCAATTCCCGGCCCCCCCCACCCGCGCTCGTCTTCTTGCGCTGCCGGCTGTGACACCTGCCCGCCTCGCAGCGACGGTCTTCGGCGTTCCTCGCCCCTGCCCCTCGCGCCGGCGCTCGCCGCCACCCCCTTCCCCCCCGGGCGCGGTCCGGCCCCTTCCGCCCGCGCTCCGCACCCACCTCTCGGGCCTCGTCAGCGGCCTCTGCCTTCACCTACCGTGTGCGACCCTCGCGACAGCGTGGCCATGCGGGCCCCCTCGCCCCCCGCCAGTGACACACCCTTTCCCCTCGCCGCTGCCGCCTCTGAGGTCATGCGGAATTTTTAAATGACCCACGTAATTTCTGCTCATCCCGTAGCCGCCACGTGTCCTTGGTGGCTGCGTGGCCTGCGGCCAGGCCGCCCCGCAGCCCCCCGCCACTTGCCACTGCCACGTGTCCCCGTGGCAGCCTGGCCTGCATCCAGGCCGCCGCTCACGTGGCCGTGACGTGTACGCCGTGTCGCCCCCGTGCGCCCAAAATTTGTTTTCCCGCGAAAAGGCACATCGGAAAAATTGAAAATATTAGGCGCACCAATCAGCACAGTGGCTTCTACACAGCGCACCAATGGCAACGCGGGAACGCACAGACGCACAGACAGACACACTGTAGTGCCGCATTGGTGCCCGTGGTAGCCACTTGTCCCAGTGGCGGGCTGGCCTGCGGCCAGGCCGCCCCCAGTCCGCACAGTACACTTGTCACTGTAGTAAAAAATGAAATTAAATCACGGCCCCGCCGCTTTCTACACGTGTCCGCGTGGCCGCCACTTGTCGCCGCAGCGCCCCCGTGCGCCAATGAGAACCCGTGCGGGAGCGCACGAACACACATACACAAACACACAGACAGACAGACACGGATTTTAGTATACGCGGGGACAAGTGGGCTCCGTGCACGCTTCGCGCGCCGAGCCAAGGAAGCGTGGAGGAACACTATTTGGGAAGGGTGGCAATGAAAATATGTAAAGACAATGGCGTTTACTTTTTTTGGTAACTACTGAAGGACCTCGGGGTACACTACGTTTCGCGTGGTTTCATTGGACTCTCGAGTGAGGACAGTGACGTTGCCTTGGTGACTAGTCCTTGATAGTGCGACATAGAGTTGACCGTGCGAGAAGCAGTGATCTCGTAGGTCGAGACCAATGCGGCCACCGAAGGATTGGACTTGCGCTTTGTTCGTTGTAAGGGCGAAGCACGTGCGAATGGGAAACTGCGTTCGGGTGAAGCCAGGGATGGGAAAGTTGTCGTCTCCTGGTCTGCAGGGCATTCGAGGAAGACACAGTCTGTTGCCTTGGTGTGACCCGGTGGTAACGTGTAGAAAGAGAGGGTTGTTGGTCATGTTCTCGATGACATATCGCGCGCCGTTGACGTGACCGGTAGCGGGATCGAGATTGCGGAGAAGCATGACGATGAAGCCTTTCTTGAGCTTGAGCTTGTGGTCTGGTAGAGCAGACCCGGCCGTCAAGGTGTTCAGAATTTCTGTGGGATAGATCAGCGCGTTGGCGTCTTCGCTCTCCACCTTGTCTGCGCTTAAGTACGTTCGATACGGTCCCGAAATCATGTTGCGGATGACTTCGTTGACTTGTTCGAGCGGCGTGTTCTTTGTGGTGAGTATAACGCGCTTGGTGAGCCAGGCAGGGTCGGTATAGTTGTCTCGAATCCCTTGGAAGACCTTGAAGCATAAATTGCGGATGGTGTGCTCGAACGCGACGGACTGCAGTAGTGATATCCATTCCGGGCGCTCTTCGCCTTGAAGTCTGCCTTCCCCGACGCTGAGGAGGAACTCTGGAAAGTTGAGGGCCTCCACATCTGCTGCAGGGTCTGCTCGGAGAGCAGCAAGGCGCATGTTCTCGGTAAGGCCCAGGAATCGGCACTCTCGATACAACGGGGAAGCCTTGACGCACTCACTCACGATTTGACCTCTGGACCCGCCCGGAACGACGGGGAGGATTTGTCTAAAGTCTCCAGCGAGCACGAGGAACTTTCCTCCGAAGGGCCAGTCGGTTTGCATCAAGTCTCGAAGGGAGCGATTGACAGTCTCAATGCAATGTCGATGGCACATGACGATCTCGTCCCATATGATGAGATCGACTTGTTGCAGTGTACGGCCTGTGTCGGAGTTTGCGGAGAAGCTGCACGTGCTTTCGGCAGATACAGGAATGGGAACCTTGAACACGGAATGAGCGGTGCGTCCACCGTCGAGCAACACAGCAGCAACAGCAGACGTAGCGAAAGCGATGACCTGCTTACGGCGCGTACGAAGGAAGTCTTGAATGGCGCTGAGCACGAATGTTTTGCCTGTTCCGCCAGGAGCATCGAGAAAGAAGAGACGACCACTTTGTGTGGGCATAGAAGGTCCCGCGACGGCGCTTGAGGATCCTTGAAGCAATGCAGAAACGGATACGCCTGGAAGCATGGAGCCCACTATTTTGTCAAAAGCATGACGTTGATTTGTGTTCAACAGCGGCAACGATGTCTGTAGTCGCCCTTCCCACTGCTGCGCTCGTGCTTCGGGCGTCTGGATCTCGTATTGCTGTTCCAAAGCGGGCAGGCTGTCATCGGGAAGTGGGAGTCCGAAGTTTGCGAGCGTCCAGTCGGATCGCACGGTCTGCAGAGCCTCCTGTACCTCTCCAAGCACTTAAGATGCGGCGTGGTGATCATCGCGAAGCTGCTGTCTTCGAATGGGTTGTCCGCGTGCGCGACTGCGAATATCAGTGAGAAACATGTCCAGGTGGTCGTTCCACAGCGAGAGAGGATCCGAAGGTTGGCAATGTGCCAGAATCGTAGCGAACAGATGAGAAAGAGGAACGAAGCTTGACCGGAATGAATCTCGGATTGCGTGCCTCCACTCAGCATCGTCGGCCAGCAAACCGAGTCGTAAGCAAGCTCGTCGAAAGCTGGTGCACTGGTCGCCGTCGATATTTCGCAAGGTTTCGAAGGATGTTGCCCCTGGCACTTGTGTGAGGAGGAAGCGAAGAAAGTAGCGCTCACCCTCCCTCGGACTGACAGTGTAGATTCGGCCGACTACGTTGGCACCTGTACCACTGAAATCAAAGGCTTTCTCATCGCTGCTGGCGTTGCGTCTTCTCAGAGTTGCTCTTGGACTCCATGAATTGCTGCGTGTCTTCCACGTAAAGTACCTTGGAAACATGTGGTACCGAATATGCCTCGCACTTGGGTACTTTTCGTTGGCTTTAAACCACTCGGTCAGCTTCGTACCTGATGCTGGTCGTAGAGCCGCCTCCTGCTCTCATCCTTCCTCAAAGTAAACCGTATGGTGGTCAGGCAGATGCACTGCAAGTCTGACCACTGGAGGATTGCGATCCACAACCTCAAATGAGAATAATCGCCATGCGGCCTCCGATGCCGAAACGTATCTGGCATCTTGGAAGTTGGAGATCTCGTCACAGGAAGGTCAGATTTATGATAAATTTAAGAAAAGCAATGATGTTGCTATTTTTGGGGGCAAAAAATGCTGGAGTTTTGCCAGCAATGCACGGTGGCGTGGGTAATTGGTTCGCGGGCAGCCATATTTTGCCAGCTTTTTTGGCAGTTCCCATTCAGCACGGTGATGAGGGGCGTTTATGGTTCCGGCCAGTGACTGGACCAGAATTTTTGCTGGACAACCATAGTTGTAACGGAAATATTTTTTATACGTCGATGTAGCAAAGTGATGTGCTATTCTGCTGCCTACCAAACCAGCGCTTGCCCGTGATGTTTTTAACCTTCACGTGCTCGTACCAGAATAAGCTCATGCCGCATGGTTCAGTACTCAAAGGATGAAGTTATTTAGTTGTGTTATACAGGCTTTGTTGTGTTTGTGTTAGTAGTGTGCTTTGTCCCCAAATATATGTATTTGAGCCTCCTCTATATCCCTGTGCTCCTTTTTTGTGACGGCTATTTTTTGCCCCAGACGGGTTATTTTCCTCCTGCTTCAGTCTTGTTGAGCGTTACGTCCCGAGAGTAGATTCGTTGAACGCAGAATTGTGTTGTCGTTAAGAAAATATACGTTTTGTCTCCAGGAGACCCGTACTTTTCGAGTAGTGTCCTCCCGAAAAGTGTGGTGTGGTATATCGCCAAGTGTCCACTAGTGTACATACTGTACTCAAACACCCGATGGTGTATGACAAGGACCGCATTGGTTAATTCCCAATTCGAAAGGTAATTACCTTATCGCCCGGTAAGTTGGACAGCGCAATTCGCGTCCGTGTACGTACTGTACTCGAATCATACCTTCTAATATATGAAACCCGCGTACCTCGCTGGCGGCCAAGTGCAGGACCGTTACTGCCCGACGTGTAGTCGTACCGTTACAGTCTGGCACTGTAAGAACGGGGACTACAGTAGTAGATATAATAAAGTAGGGAAGGGGAAGGACTCGAGGGAATGATCGCTCAACGCAGTGGCATCATCTCGAGGGCCGACCCTTTTGTCCCTTGGTTTTGTGCCTAAGTCTTTCGCCTGACTACGTTTTCGTCTTCCCTTTTGTACATCGAGTACACCGAAAAGTACTCCACCGCAGGGGTAACGCACGACAAGTGCTGCGCAGAGCGCCCGGATTCGTCCTCCGTGACGGCGTCGCTTCCGCACGGCGTCGAGTTACCACGTCGACGACGTCGATCTGCCTTTCGTGGCATCGTTGTGTCGAACCCACACCGTTCTACCAAAACCTCTACCAACCAGCTACCGAACTCCCTTCTGTCTTGATTTGTGGTTCTTACTACACGTGTGCCCGGCACTCGTCGCGTCTCGCACGCCTCGAACTACAGTACGACGTGTCGCAGCTCCCGCTACGCGAAGCCGGTCGATCGCGGCACGTTCTACTACACTGGTCTTCGGACCTAGTAGTGTGAGCGCACGCTACGTTTGCTGCGCAAAGCAATATCGTTGGCAACCGTCGCCTCGTCGATATGAGTTCGCCTCATCGGTCCCTCGCTGGTTCCGAAGCCGCGGAACCATCCGCTCCGATCTCACCGCCGGTTCAACAGAGCGGAGTCGTTGAACATGCTTCCGACTTTCGCCCAACTCAAGGTGCTCCCTACATGGATTCGTACGAGAGAATGCTTCGAAACCTCGAGGATATACGGGAAGCGCTCCGTAGCGACGTCTATGATGATGTCTACGAGCATTGCCGAGACAATCTCCGTAACCTAATGTTGGGTCGATACCAATCTTTCACGCAAGGACTTGAGAGCCTCCGAGCTCACGTCGATACGATCGAATCTCGACTCGTCCTTTGCGAGAGCCTTATCCCCGATAGGTCAACTGACCTGACCGCCGAGCAGATGGCCTCGTTCTCGCGCCTAGCCGCTCAAGTGAATCAGCAACGAAGCCGCGCGAATCGGCTGCGAGAGAGAGGATCAGATATATCCTCAACGTCCGCGAACGCTCGCGACGTGTCTCGACCGAGTCCTATTTTGCTGCGCCCTTGTGACCCTCTTCCTACAGGTTCCGATCGTCTGGAACCGAATGGGCTTCGTCGTGAAGCTCACGCTCGTGAAGCACGGGCCACAGGCCCTCCGTTTGTGTCCCACAAGATTCCATACCGACCGGAAACGCCTTCACCGCCACTCGCTGTGACGCCCTTCGGTCATTTAGGACCTCTTGAGCCTGGGATCGAGCCCACGAAGACCTTACTTCAAGAGTTCAGCCACGTTGTCGACTATCGACTCTATCGTCTCGACGATACTTCTATTCTCGTCTCGGAGAACGATGCCGGACGAATTGGCAAATACGTGAAGCGCTGCAAAGGCATACGGCCTACGATGAAGATCTTCGATGGCTCCTCCCCGATAACGCTGCTGTCTTTTCTCAAGGACATCAGCATCACCTTTAACTCACAGCGCCTCAACGAGGGCGTAGCTGTACGAGTATCGCTCATTTCTCGGAGCGTGACGCCGAACGCCTGTACACTTCTTACACGATGACGGCGTTACGATCCGGTTCGCTACGGAGCGCTGGGTCAATTTCGTGGCCCGGGTTGGTGAACCTGCTGATCCGCCGTTATCTTACGGACGACGTTCTCAACGATGCCTACGAAAAGGTCGCTACGATTCGTCAACTTCCGCATGAAAACGAAAACGTGTACGCAGATCGACTCGAAGATCTCGCGTACTCCTGTACCCCCGTGTTCTCCAACGCCGCGCTGGTGAACTACTTCATCGGCGGATTGGCTGTCGAAACGAGGGATGTGGTAACCGAGACCGTTTATCACCTTCCGTTTGGCGAACGAAACGACCTTGCCGCTATTCGCCGCATCGCGCTCGCGGAGGGTAATACCTACCGAGCCCGTTCGGGAAAAGCTTTACCCGACATCGGAGCGAACGCGCAACGGACGCCTCGAGTACGCCCACCGAGGGCGCCTCCATCTTCTGGATCGACGTTGTATCTCACTGGACACGAAGCCCCAAGCAGTGTCGTGGCTGGCAATGCTGGCTTACTCGATGCGCCACCGGGTGCACAATTTGATCCCGAATTAATCATGCCCGGACGAGCTGTCGCCGAATCGACAAGTTCCCATACGTTTAACACCGCCAGATCGGCGGAAGATCCGACAAGCACAACGGAAGTGGATATCACGAAGCGCATCGAGCGTTTTATTCCTTCTCACGTTCCCGCTCTAACGGACGAACAGGTGAGGCTGGCACAATCGATCGTGCCACCCAATTCCCCGTACCATCGTTGCTGGCTCTGCCGCATCGTGGGACACACCCTCTACACGTGCCCCTTTCTGACGAAAGAGCAGCAACTCTACTCCGCATACCGTAACTACGAGCATCAGCTGTAGACGAGGCCTCATATGCGGAACCTGCTCAGGCAGCTCCCAGACAACCGTTTCCGTCAAGCGGGTAACAGAGGCCGTCAGCGACAAGTTGGTTTCCGTGAACCACGCAAAACAGTCCTCCGAAGACCCCATCAAGGCTATCGTTCGTCCAATACAAATTACCCCCGTCGTGGTGGGCAAATAAATCGTGAAGTGCGTCGTCCTACGCAGAACGACGTGCAAGGAGCAATGATGTACCTGCGCGATCTCGTCACCTCTGACTTCGCGACACGCGTGTCGTGCACTGCAGCCACGTGTGGCGGTTGTAGGCAGAGCGACGCGCGTTCGGACGCGTAAAGAATTTCGGGAGACCACCCGGTGGATGACCGGAACCGGGATCCGGGCGCGGCTTGCGCGGTAGGAAAGTAGCAACGTAGTCAGCAATAAAGAGGAAGAATTAAAGGTAAAACAGGACGAACAGAGCGGACAGCACAGTAGTTAACGTAGCACTCGCGCTGTAGAATCGACGCGCGCGGGGAAGGCAGTTGGGATTCCAGGGGGCGTAGATGGCTCGGTCGGTATGGGCGAGCCAGTACCGAGTCGAGGCTACAACCTGGAATCCAGAAACCAAGGTAAAAGACCCGAGGCTTCGTGCCTCTTTACTTGGAGTATCGAGTTGAATATATAGTCCCCCGTCGCCGTAATGGCGAAGCTAAATTATACTGTAAATTAGAATAACTAGGAAAGAACGGGTGTAGCCCTGAGGGGACCAAGTACAGGCCCCATAGGCCCTCTGGGTTGCGGGGGGATTACACGTGTTCACGGGGAGGTCCGGTAGAGCGGCAGGGGAGTCCACGTGTACCCGTGGTACACGTGGTGGTAGCGAGCGCGATTTTGGCGAGATTAGGACAGCTGTCCCGGCACCGAGTACAGTGCACTACAGATCTCCCTTCTTAGAAAAACACGCGTCCTCGTGTGTATGTAGGGTAGAAATACCCGTCAAATGAGGCAGCGGCGCTGACGTGGCAACCGCGGTAGGAAGAGAGGGGACGTGGGCGGCAAGGTGGACCAGCAAGCGACGCCGAGTCGGTCCGTTTTCCCTTATCTTCCGTTTCCGCGAGCTTGAAGTTCCAAACCTACCCAGCTCTGGAGCCTCCCTGTCGTTTCGAATTCCCCTTTTCCTACCTTATTCGAGCCTCTTCCTTCCCCTTGTGTGCCGTCTCGGGTTCCACGACGCCGCTACAGCGGCGATCGGCCAGCTCTTCGGTCAGCGGGGAGACGTGGTTCGTTGTCCCATAAGACGCGTGATGGAACGGTTCCACAACCCGTATGGGGAACCGGGGGAGACAGGCAGCGCGGGCATGGACGGGTGGCCGGCGCCTCGGGAA